CTATATTTATTCTTTATTTATTATTATAAAAGTAACTAAAATTAAAAGTATGGATTCTTTTTAAGTTACTTAGGTCTAGAATAGGTAAAATAAGTAATAATGATATAATTAAAATTGTTCACGAGGTACACGTGATTTACAACTTATAATGGCGGGGAAAGCAGTTAGACATGGTTGAAAGGGCAATAAAACAATAAAATTTAATTATAAATAGATGTATAATGTTATGAACTTAGAGCTACTTAGGATAAATGAATGTAGTTTCAGGTTACAATTTGAAGTCATTCTAAGAAAAAAAAGAAGGTTAATTTAGGCTTATTTCGATTTTTTTTTTTTTTTTTTTTGTGTGGTTACGAGGTTGATCAAATTGACCGATACTGTTTTGAGAGTAGAGAAAATAACTTATAAACTATAAAGATTTAGTGAAAAAAAACGTTTGAAATGCATGTAGGAGGTTTTAAGGATTACACATAGAAAATTTGAGATTTTTGAGATGACGAAAAATATTTTTAATTTTAACATGAAAATTACTTTTCACACGGACTATTCAAAACAAATACTAAATATATTCATGGACAATTCTTTATTTTATTTTATTAGAAATACTTCACTGAGAAAGTGTATGCGAAAGACTTGTAATATTAACTGAAAGACTGCCAAATTTCATGAAGATATACCCAATATATATAGTTATAAGTATTAAATTTATATCAACTTTAAACGAGTACAAAAGGTCACGTGACTTGGTCAAATTGACTGACCCCATATTGAGAGGTTTATTAATTGGTTCCATTTGATTAAACCTGGATTTGGATGGTTCAAAGTGCACATATCACGACCTTTTTAGAGTTAAATTTAATTTAATTAAAGAACTTCATTACCAATGTTTGTCACTCAACTTGTCATAAAAATGTTTATAATTTATATTCTAATACTGTTTTAATTTCTTAGTTTCAAAACAGACTATTTGAATAAATTTTCCTTGTATCGAGTTAGGGTAGAGAAAATAACAGATAAAATATAAACTACTGAAAAAAAACATTTGAAATTTATCTAGGTGGTATTAGAGATCACACCTATGAAATTTGAAAATTTTCAGATGAAGAGTTTTTGATCTTGGCATGAAAATCACTTTGCACATGAAGCAGTCAACACTTCATATATTCACAGAAAAGAATCTTAGTGAAAATATTTCATTAAAAATTGTTTTTGTTTTTTTCTACAAAAGATTTAATGCTCATTGAAAGATTGTGAAATTTTATGAAATACACAAAACATATTGGAAGTTGTATGGAAACTAAAGGTCAATTTGGGTTTATGAACTTGGTTAATTTGACTGAACTCCTAGCAAAAATGTTAACCCTATCACCACGGGTATCCTTTACTGTGCATGAAACATTCAAAATTTTATTAAACTACTTTTTGTTTGTTATACCAATCAGTATAGCATAAAATCTTAGCTAATAATTCATATTTTAATAGTTTATAAGCTTTAAGTTCTTAATTCTATAAAACAATATTTAAAAAAAACCTGAATTTCTCTTAGTGTGACATGCATGACACATTTTTTCAAGGTATCTTCTCTTCTCTAATTTATCCACTACCACCCCTCCAATGAAATTAAACAAATTATTCACTATCAAATTGTCATTGCTCAGAAAAACCATAATTTTTATAGCCTTCAATTTTGTTTGGTTACAAATAGAAATAGAAAAATCAAATAGAAAATGAGACCCCTCCAACCACACCCACCTGTCACATTCTCTGTTTCAGGATATGTTAATAGTTCTCTCTTACATTTAATTATATATTGTGTATAAACAATAGAAAGTCAAGGTTTTCATCTATCAAATGATGTATTGTATAACTCTGTGTTCTGAGCATATAATCATCAGTTTCACTCAGAGTACAAGACTCGTTCCCGTAGAAAACTAATGGCTCTTGTTGCATAGTTAGAAAGCCAGAAAAATTGTGATAGTTAGAGGAAATTGTCTACTTTTTGCATGTTATTAGTCTTATGTTCTTTGGTGCATTATTTAATTAAATAAATAAATTTAGTGCATTACTGTCATTAGTATAAAAAAAGTAGGGTTAGTGTCATTGACAGTTGACAGCAAAAAATTATGCAGGTAAGTATTTCTTGTTTTTCATGTGTATTCTTTATTTATTATTATAAAAGTAAATAAAATGTAAAAACAGGAATCTTTTTAGGTTAGTTAATATTAAATTAGGTAAAATATATAATAATAATAATAATAATATCATAAAAATGTTTCATGAAGCACGCACGCGAGTAGTTTGGAGTAGCTCGTGGATAATGTAGTTCGATGGCATAACGTGAGCTGCATGTTCCCCCATATAATGGCACAAATAGTAGTTAGACATGGTTCAAAGGGCAATAAAATAATATAATTTAATTAATTATAAATAGATGTATACTGTTACGAGCTTAAAGATATACACACTATCTTGAAAGTTAGAAGTATTAAATCTATAAAGACCTTAAATGAGTACAAAGTGGTCATGTGGTTGGTCAAATTGACCAAGCTCATGTTGAGAGTTAAATCATAATACTTATGGACAACAAGGGATCTATTTGTCCATCTTGGCTGTCCCATCCTCTAAACTAAACTATTAAATACATTTTTAAAAAATCTTAAAGCCAGCCCTTATCATTCATATAGTTATCAAGTTTTTTTCTTAAATTTCTTGCCTCCACAACATCCAAAGACAGCCCATTCCAGAGGTGAACCACACTCTTAGAAAAATAACTGTCTTAGCTTTCCAACAATTCAATGTTCTTCATAAGATAAGGTGCTCAAGACTGAATACAATACTTCAAATGTGGCCTAACCAGTGGCCTATACAATGAAATTATATCATGTTTAGACTTGTATTCAATATTTCTGTATTCAACCTAAAATCCTATTTATCCTACCACTAGCAATAGCACAATGCTTGGATGGCTTACGAGACTGATTGACCTTTACACCAGGATCCCTTTCTTTCATGGCACTGTTAAGGTTATTCCCATAGAAATTATACTTATAATTGAAATTTTGATAACCCACATGCATTATTTTGCATTTATTACAATTAAAACCCTTCTGCCATTTATTTGCTTAACTCAATAAATTATCTAAATCATTTTGTAAATCAGCAGCATCCTCTTCACAGCTAGAAACACCCAAGACCTTAATATTATCTGCAAATTTAAGTAATTTATTGACTATTCCTTCATCAATGTCATTCATGTAAATCAAAAAATTGCAAAGGTCTTAAGGCTGAACCTGAGGTACCACATTTGTAACAACCCTCTGCTTTCTTCCATCCAATTTGCTAACATATCCTTCACACCTATAGGGATAATGGTTTTACAAGCCTTTTATGGTGGCACCTGTCAAATGATTTCTGAACATCCATATACACCAAGTCTGCACTCTTACCCTTATCTACATAAGCATCAGACTTTCCAAAACCTCCCACAACGGATCTAAGACTAATAGGCCTATAATTACTGGAACAATTTTATTACTTCCCATGAAAAGAGTAGTGACATTGACTAATGTCCAATCCTTTGGCACCTGCTCAATATACTTGTATCAAGTTTCGTTTCACCAACAAGGCCTCTGTGTTAGGCCTTGTTGGCCCAAGTAACTACTTGAAAGGGCAAAGAAATTCGCCAAAAATATATGTAAATGAATATATAACATCTTTAAAACTTATTACATGAATAATAAAATCTTCTAATTAACAACACAAAGTTGGTTTGCTTCTAATATAGATATTGTAAAATGTTTTTTGGTTGTACATCAGTGATTGTAGACATGGCAAAACTGCCTGTGGTGTTGTTTGGAATCAAAACCAAGATAAAATTCAGTTTTAAAAATGAAACTTTCTAGAAAATCTGTAAAAAAACCTGAAGATAGGAGACAGAAAATCTTTAGTTAAAATCCTACAGCAATAAGTATTTTTTCCTAAAAAGTACGTATTATAGGGGAGTTGCCAGTTTTTGAAAAAAGTACTTGCCCATGGAACAGAATGCTTGAAAAATCTAGTCTGTTTGAAAAGCTACTTTTTCTATCATTGTCTCATAAAATGTACAAACACATCAAATTTACCTTTTATTTAACAATGAACAGTTGTTGAAATTGCTATGCTCACCTAGTTTGAAGGCAAATAAAGGAAACATAAAGCAGTCCAAGCATTCTTGCCAAAATTGAGCATGTCTAATTTTTGTAAAAGTCGCATGGCAGAAGGAAAAATATACTAATTAAGTTAAATAGACTCAGACTTCACCCACCATAACAGTTAGAAAGAATGGTGGGTCTTGCATCCATTTTCATGTTTGGTTTCACCAAAAGTAAACTAGTATTCAATAGCTCTGCTTGGGTTGTACTCCTCAAACTGAGTTCCCAGAATCTTGAGAAGCATCATCTTACAAGGTGTTCTTATTAAACTGGTTTATTAAAGGGATCTTGATGATATTCATGGATGAAAATGCACATTTTTCCTCTGCTGTTAACACACTGAATATATACATCATCTCCATCAATTTCAAGATATTGTTGAGAGTGGAATATTTTGTACAATTTAACTCCTCCACAGTTCCTTCCTTCTCCTCAATGAGACGGACATCAAAATGGACTAGGATTTGTTCAATTTCTGATTTGCCATATGCACTGAGCTGTTCTTAACTTTCTGGCCAATCTGTATAGTCAGAAACACTGATTGCCTGAGCTGGCATGAGTTAGTGTATTTGATCATTGTGTCGGTTAGTTTAATGTAGCTTGTTAAACTGGCTGCTGACAGGTAGTAACCAGACAAATTGATCTCGGGTGATTCATCCCCAAACTTTGTTTTGTGTGGTACATATTAAGAAACTACTGCATGTGTACATCTGAGTTATTCTTCAGTTCTACTAATCTTAAGATTGACTGTTACACTGCAGGTTGATCATATATGAACATTAGGTCATTAGACTGAAAGAATTCTGAAAGATGTGATATTAGCTCTAGGATATCACTTAGACTGTAGTGTGTTTTGATGAAATTGTCACTAGTGATTTTAACAAGGACCTTCCTTACTTTAGCTGCTGACACATCAATGCCACTACTAACTTGACCTAAATATAAAACCACAACCTGAAGGTTATGTTACATGTCATTTAAAACTCTTACTTTGCTTGATACCCATTGCTTCTGTTTCACATCATCGAGGTGGGCAAAATTTTCACCTATAACCCTTGCAACTTCTTTGCATTTCCTCTCAATTTTCTGCTATTCCAGTAAAATGTAAAAATACTTTTCAAAATTTCTTCAAGCTGAGCATTGTAAGGTAAGAATTGCCAACTGAAGGAGAGTAGAAATGGGGTATTGTTTTTTTTTTTATTTTTAGTAGTAGTACTGCATCAACTTTTGGAATATTTCGTAAAGTTACACCATCAAAAGTAACTGATATTAATCCTGGATCTGATTATTTAATTTCTGTAGTGCATATTGTTTTTTTTTTTAGACTTTATATCTATCAAATTCATAAACAGCTTCTTAATTCCATTAACAGTATGATGTAGGACACCTAATACATGTATATGTTTTAGTGAAACATAATTTCTTAGCACTGGATAGGGCTTTCCTCCATTAACAACTGTTACTAGCAGTTTCCTGCTCAGTGTTGGCATTATCTTTATTCCCATTGGCTACAATACAGATTAACTTTGATCCACTAATTATCCTTGATGTCACATATAAAGTCTTAAAAATTCACACTTAATGAATTCAAAGGCTTTCCTAATATTGGTGTAATTATCTCCTACATCCACACCAGCCTTCCCTGTTGCTGTGCATGAAAATTCCATGTCTGATAGAGGTTTGTTTTGCTTAGCAATTAGATATGAATTGTTAAACAGCAAAATTAATCTCTTCTTTTTCACCTCCTCCTCTGTGCATTGCCTGCACAATAAAGAGTTGCTTCCCAAACTGAGTTATAGAACTGTCAAAACTCAATGTCTGATTTTGTATTCTTATGATTGTACCTTGACACACTTGCCATGTGAGCTTTGCTGCTTTTGTGTGCTCTGATTGGTTTAATATGGAATTGATCACATCCATTCAAGAAAGCATTACTGCCTGATCTTGAGTGACTAGGTACTGTTGTAGGATATTTCAGACAATCTTCATAGTACATTTTGGAGACTGGATCTCCCTCAGAGTGGCATTCCTTAGGAACTAACCATGGCCAAGTATCCTTCCAATGAGACTGAAGTACTTTGTCTTTTATTTTCATCTTATTTTTGAATTTTTCATGGCATAGAGCTAACTGCAGCTACAAACAGTTGCAACATCATCACTGGTAGGTGGTTTATGGGGCTCTTCTCCTTTTCTGCCCCCTTTAATATCACCATTTTGTTCAATTCAAATTTTATATGTATATGTACAGTGTCAAATTAGTTATTTTGATCATTTATTAATTCAATTATTTTGAATTTTACACGGAGCAGTATAGCGTATTCCACTTTGACTTCCCTTAGTCTGTTTTCTATTCTTGCTCTCATTTCACTTACAGAATTTATTTGACATGTTAGAATATACGTAAACATTGCATTATCAATATAGTATTTGCTAGTTTAATTACCGTATAGACAGTACATATATTTTTTACTCGTCAAACTATTTAGGTGGAGCACTTACTTTAAAACTGTTTTAATGTTCATATTAATGTTGTATTATTTTAAGTATAATTAACCAAATAGGTATTGTAGTTGCCTACCCTTCGCATCACTAGCAATAAAGAATTACCACTTAATTCATTTTCTATTAACTTCAACAAAAGACCCTCTTCAGCCTGTCACATCTAAACACACATACTTTGATCACACATGCATACATCTGACCAGCAAACAGAACACATTCAACACACAAGACAGTAAAATAAACAATAGTGAACTTAGCTCCCCCTTAAGTTGTTGTTGCTACAGTATATTTTGTATTTTATGTATTAATGTTTGTGCAGTGTATATTGGAGTGTAGCAATGTGGTTTTAGTTATATAGTAATATATAATAATAATAATAAAACGTTTTATTACAAAGAGATAAAAATATATATAATTCAAAGTACTCATTCCATGAACAAGGTGAAATGGGAAAACTTGTCCCTGATGCAAATTTTGCTGTCCTGGTCAATGAGTGATATGAATTGGAAACTCCTGATATCACGTTGAAATCCTTTGAAAATTTTAAGGCTTTGAATTCATACAAATATCTTTTAAATTAAGATTATTAATTATTTGCAGAAGCTAAATAATCTCTGGAGTGATCTTCTGAATTTTGAGACTATTTCATCCAATAATTTTTTGTTTTACAAAATAGCTGAGATATTTCCCTCATCAAGTCTTGAAGATGGCAATGAATTGACATAGATGAGGAAGTTTTGTTAGGGGTTCACAATATAAATTATCCATTGCTGACGTTTTACAGATTTTGGGCACTTTCATGTTTTACCATGCTTTTACCTGAATACTTAAGAATTAATGTATCATATACTTATAAGAACACATAAATGGATAAATTTTGCAACTTACAGGAGACAGGATGAGTAACAGACCATAAGGGAATAAGAAATAGATTGTCTGTGATCACTGATCTCATGAATTATAAACATTTCTTATCCTTAGGTAATGAACATATGTCAGTTGTCTGAACATTTATTTTAGTTTGAATTTGATATAATTGCAAAAAATATCCCAAAGTACATAGTTGAAATGTTCTGGTTAGATGCTTTATTTTTATTATACAAGTTGTGTTTGAGTGTTCAGGAACACCTACCTCACTAAATATAGCAACCTCACATTAAGATTAACCAAGTTTCAACTTTAAAGATAAAATATTTAAAGGTAGCACTCATTCATGAAAATTTTCTAATTCTAGTTTTTATTCTTCTACCTCCCCCAAGCCACTTTGTTTTTCTTACTTTCTTGTTTTTAAGACTGCTGCAACATTTTGAAATTAGTACCTTTGTTTCAGTGGGTGGAAGCAAGAGAGAAGTTTCAAAAATCTGCTGAACTTTTAGAAGGGGATCAACGAATAAAGAAGTCCATGTGGAGCCAGTTCTGGGGATCACATCAGAGGTTCTTTAAGTACCTATGTATAGCTTCAAAAGTTAAACCAGCTGTAGCCTTGGCACGGGAAGCTGTAAAAAATGGCAAGGTACACATTATTTATTGTGTAATTTATTTCAATGGTAAAGAATCAAATAATATTAATGAAAGTAAAATTTATATAAGATACAAAACTGAACTTTTAAAATGTTTGTAGTGGTTGCAATGAGCTAAAACTTGAAAGTTTTAGTATTAAAAGTGGATTTTGACTGGAGTTGATTGTACTGGATTTAATATTTTTATAGACTATGATTGGATGGCATTTAGGTCTGATGCAGACCTACTTCAGCAAAGATTGAAACACGGCACTTCAAGCTTGAACTCAATCAAAAAAACTCCAGTTAGTACAGAACTCTGTGAACAGAATAATTTTGTGGTGTCTTATTTATTATCTAAGAAAAACACTGGTTGAAATATGTTTTTGATTCTAACATAGAAAACGTTTGTGTTGTAGTAAAGTCTTATGTCTGCAGCTCAACTCTAAAAGGCTATACTACATGAAAATTGCATTACATGACTATCCTGTTCATATTTCAAGCATGTAATCTGTTTATTTGGTTCTGATTTGTCTTGCAATAATTATTTGCAACTCAGTTATGAAGATTGTTATATATTATGTGTATGTGTGTGATACCAATAATTATATTTATTTTATCTTTATCTCTAAGAATATTATTGTCAATTTTTATAGCTAATGTTCTTAGATAAATACAAGTAAAAGAAATTGTCTCTAGGCCACAAATTTGGACTGGATACTAAAGATGTTATTTATTATCTAGGATGAATTTCTTATGAACCTTTTTTTTTAGTTTGTGGCCTTTCAAGAAATTTCAGCTAAACAGAATCTCTCCCTCTCATATATATATATATATAAATTTTCTCCCTATAGTGCATTGTGATAGGCTTGCAGTCAACTGGTGAAGCACGTACATTAGAACAGTTAGAGGAAGCTGGTGGAGAACTCACAGATTTTGTTTCTACAGCTAAGTGTGTATCTTATTTTGTGGTTATAATGAAACTTTAACATTGTATTAAACTCTTGAAAGATACTTAGGCTTGATGCAGGAATTAATCAATTAGGATGAACTAAAATACAACATTTCATAAGAAATTGACAGTAAAAGTTTCAAGGGCTTTATCTATTCTCCCACTCTTTTCATTATTTTTTGTATCTGTGTTTTAAAAACTAATCAAAAGCCATAATATGGAGTCTAAAATATGATGTGAAAATCAAAATAAAAAAGTTGAGTATAGTTATAAAACAGGAAATAATTAATAAATAGTGATTTGAGTTGTGATTTTGTAATAATTTGTTTCTTAAAAGTTGTTTTTTGGGGTACCCTGGTATTAAGAAAAGCTTAGGAGGTTTATTTTATTTTTTTTTCTGTTTCTCAGTGAAAAGTTATTTTTTGGTACCGACTTAAAATTGTATAAACCTTACTTCTTTTTTTGTTTGATGTAGAGGAGTGCTACAAACCCTGATAGACAAACACTTTCCAGCTCCAGATCGTAAGAAAATGAGCCGTCTCCTGGGTTTGGAAAGTTTCATGAAAGAAGAGGCAAAAGAAATCAAGCGACCTATCTCTCCGGTTGCATCCTCCTCTTGTGGGGGCACCAAAAGAAAGTCTGGTAATATTTTTGTATTTCCTCATTGTAACTAGCATTTTTTAATTGTATTGAACGTATATAGGTTCCATCAGGAAGGTTTGTGTAACTTCCTAATTTTCCATAATGATTTTTATCAAATCATTGTTTCTGAACTCATAATAGATTTAGTATTTTTGACTTTCTCTTTTTCAGAATCATATTAATCCCTTCTTTCATGCCTAGCTACTAAGTGGTCAGTTAAAAATGTATTATCATGATACTTTAACTATGTTCCATTGTTCTATTCTTTCTTAAAGATATTGACTTGTTACATTTTTATTTAAACAAGAAAGAACTTTTTATTCTGTTGTTTGTTTTTAACCCTATTGCCATGGGTATCCTTTACTGCACATGACAAGGTTTTAGTGTCTTACATTCAAAATTTTATTAATCTACTTTTTGTTTGTTAAACCAATTAGAAGAGTATAAAATCTTAGCTAATAATACAAGTTTTAAGTTCTTCATTCTACAAGGCAATATATAAAAACAATCCTGAATTTCCACTAGTGTGACCCACGTGACACATTTTCTCTTAGCATGTCATCATCCCTATTTTATCCACCACCCCTCCAAAAAGTACGAAATTAAACAAGTTACTCTATAAAATCCTTATTGCGCAGACAACCCATAATTTTTAGTCTTCAATTTTGTTTGGTTACAGAGCTATCAAATAAAAAATCAGATCCCTCCTGCCACACCCATCTGTCACATCCTTTCTTTCAGAATTCATTGATAGTTCTCTCTTGTGTTTCATTACATTTTACCTGTAACCAATAGGAGGTCAAGGTTTTCATCTATCAAATGATGTATTGTGTAACGTTATGTTCTGAACAGTTAGACATAAATTTCACTCAGAGTACCCATATTGTTCCCATGGGAAAGTTAATGACTAGCTTGGATGAATTTGTAATGGCTCTTGTCGTAAAGTTAGAAAGCCAGGAAAATTTTGAGAGGTAAGTGAATATGTCTACTTTTTGCATGTTATTAGTTTATATTCTTTGAAGCATTATTTAATTAAATAAAAATTAAGTGCATTACTATCTATAGTATAAAAAATTAGGGTTAACTCTCTTTGAAACCTGACAGCAAGAAAAAAGAAGATTGGTTAAGTGTTTCATTTCTTGTTTTTGATGTTTATTCTTTATGTATGTTTATCAAATAAATTAAAATGTAAAAATAGGGATTGTATTAGGTTTGTTAAGATTATATTAGGTAAAATAATTAATAATAATATGATAATAAAAATGTTTCATAAGGTACACACGAGAGCAGCTTGTGGGTAATGTAATTTCTTAGTATAATGTGTTAGCTACATGTTCCGTGAGTGATTTAAAACTTATAATGGTGCAGATAGTAATTAGACACAGTTCAAAGGGCAATAAAAATGACAATAAAATTTAATTATAGATAGATGTATAATGTTACAAACTTAGAGCTACTTAGGCTAAATGAATGTAGTCTCATGTTACAATTTGAAGTCATTCTAGAAAGAAAAGAAGGTTAATTTAGGTTTATTTCAATTTTTTTGGGTGGTTACAAGGTCGGTTGAATTGACCAATCCAATTTTGAGATAGGGTAGAGAAGATAACAGATAAACTGTAAAATTTTACGGAAAAAAAAAAACGTTTGGAATGCATTTAGGAGGTTTTAGGGATTACACAAAGGAAATTTGATATTTTTGAGATGACAAAAAGTATTTTTAATTTTAACATGAAAATTACTTTGCATACGGACTATTCAAAACAAATACTCAATATGTGCATGGACAATTCTTTATTTTATTTTATATAAAATATTTCACTGAGAAATATGACTTTTTGTATGTGAGAAAGACTTGTTATATTAACTGAAAGACTGACAAATTTTGTGAAGATATACCCAATATATATAGAGTTATAAGTATTAAATTTATATCAAATTGACCAACCCCATGTTGGGAGAGTTAAGAGGCTTTAGAGATTATGCAAATGAAACTTGACAATTTTCAGATGAATAAAAGTATTTTTAACTCTCTCAACATGGGCTCAGTGAATTTGACCATCCACGTGACCTCTTTGTACTTGTTTAAAGGTGATATAAATTGAATACTTCTAACTTTCAATATAGTGCGTATATCTTCACAAAATTTGGCAGTCTTTCACATACAAAAAAAAAATCAGTTTTTAGTGAAGTATTTTTATGGAAATAAAGATTTGTCCATGAATATATTGAGTATTTGTTTTATGTAGTACCTAAAACCTTTATAGTTTATCTGTTATTTTCTCTACCCTATCTCAAAATGAGATCAGTCAATTTGATTGAACCTGTAACCACCAAAAAAAGAAAAAAATTGAAATAAACCTAAAATAACCTTTTTTTTCTTTCTAGAATGACTTCAAATTGTAACATGAAACCACATTCATTTATCCTAAGTAGCCTGAGTTTGTAACAGTATACATCTATTTATAATTAAATATTGTTTTATTGCTCTTTGAACCGTGTCTAATTACTGTCTGTGCCATTATAAGTTGTAAATCACTCAGGGAACGTGCAGCTCACGTTGTGCTTACAAATTGTTACCCACTAGCTGCTCGTGTGTGTGCCTTGGGAAACATTATTATATTATTATTTATTTTACCTAATTTGATCGTAACAAACCTAAAAGGATCCCTATTTTTATATTTTAGTTACTTTTATAAATTTACATAAAGAATAAACACGAAAAACAAGAAATAAAATACTTAACCATTCTTCTTTTTTCTTGCTTTCAAGTTTCAAAGAGAGTTAACCCTAATTTTTTATACTGTAGATATTAATGCACCAAAGAAAATACTGATAACATGCAAAAAGTAGATAAATTCACTTACCTCTCAATTTTCCTGGTTTTCTAACTATGCAACAAGAGCTGTTACACATTCATCCAAGCTAGTCGTTAACTTTCCCATGGAAATGATGCTGGTACTCTGAGTAAAATTGACGTCTAACTGTTCAGAACATAACGTCATACAAAATACGTCATTTGATAGATGAAAACCTTAACTTTCTGTTGGTTATAGGTATCATATAATGAAACATAAGAATGAAATATCAAAGAATTCTGAAAGAGAGGATGTAGCAGGAGGGGTCTGATTGTATATTCGATAGATCTGTGAACAAACAGAATTGAAGGCTATAAAAATTATGGTTTGTCTGAGCAATAAGGATTTTATAGAGTAACCTGCGTTTAATTTTGTACTTTTTTGAGGGGTGGTGGATAAAATAGAGATGGTTTTTTAAGAATTTAAAACTTGTATACTGTTAAAATAGGGATTATTAGCTAATATGTTATGCTATTCTAATTGGTATAACATAAACAAAAAGTAGTTTGATAAAATTTTGAATGTAAAACACTAAACCTTTGTCATGCACAGTAAAGGATACCCGTGGTGATAGGATTAATCTTGACACTTTGCACTCGGAGCAGTCAACATTTCAATTCCATATATTCATGGAGAAATTTCTAGTGAAAATACTTCATTAAAAATTCTGATTTTTTTGTCTACAAAGACTTAATGCTTACTGAAAGCCTAGGAAATTTTGTGAAATACACAAAACATTAGAAGTTGTAGTATGGAAGCTATAAAGGTAAAACTGGGGTCACGAACTTGGCCAATTCAACCGAACCTGTAGCAGCAGTGTTAAAATGCATAATTTAGATAAGTTGATTAACAAATCCAAAAGGTATTGGTATCAAAAATTATTCAATTAATACTTAAGATCATTTGTACTTGGTGAAACTCCATAACTACACAGAATTGGGGAAAACAAATAATTGTTTCACAAATTTTTTTATTACCATATTTTTTCCGATGTCATGGTAGTAATGAATTGAATACTTGTGAAATGTACCATTGGCTTTTATTTCTTCAGTTCTGTAAAAAATATTCAGCTTCATATAACGAAGGCTAGTTGCAGTACACTTCACTTGAGAATGGTCCAGTTACCATATCTTCAGTTGTGTTTCATGTGTATTACATTGATAATGCTTTGTGCTGTATACATTATGCTCTCTGAAATTCCCATGTTTTACTAGTGAATCTTTGGTCCATCCTTATGTGAATAATTTTAGTTTTGTGAAAATTTATATTAGATGTAGGCTGTATTTTTTAGTTTATTATAAATAAAGTTGGTAAAGTATATGATTCGTGGTATAATTCACTTCCTCTTGGTTGGTTTTAGGTACCCAGCAAACAAGTACTGACAGGTGTTGTCTTTGGACAAATAATATTGTCTGGAGAGCAAAGTAGTTTTGAGAAGATCAAGTTAAACACAGTGTACAACTGTTAGTCTAATATAAAAGCATTTTGAATTGTAAGGTTAAGTAGTAGTAGGTCAACACTTAAAAGTTGTATGTTTTTTCTCTATCTCATGGAATAAGGTATTAAATATGATTTATGGTACAGTCTTTGAGTTTTTAAGTGATTTTCATATTGAACTGAATGTTAACACTGGTTATTAATCAGAAATTTTCAAATTTCTTTCATTGCTTTTTAGATGCAGTATCTGTATTATTTCCTGAAATTGAAATTCCCATTTTTGCTAAACTTGAATGTTACTCTAACCTGGCAGAGCAGTATTGTCTGTGGACTTACAATGCTAGAAACCAGGTTTTGATACCCATGGTGGGCACAGCACAGATAGCCCATTGTGTAGCTTTGTGCTTAAACTACAAACAAACAAATATTTCTCTAACCATATCAATAAATTTTGAAAAAATTAATACATTTTATTATTATTGTTATTAATCAAGATTTCTGGACAGTATAAATTAACTTCCTAAAGTTGGCAAACAATTTGCTTAAAACATGGTAGAACTTTATGATGTTCAGTACACCTACATACATCTTGTTGAAATGATATGTAAAGTCAGAGGGTATAGTTTTCTTGAACAGATCACAATGATGAACCACTTTTATGGTCTGAAAGTTCATCCTATTTCCTAGGCCAGTCAGGATAAGTACTTTTTTGTATAGGTAATCCTAATATAATTTTGTACTGAAGGATGACAAAAACATTAAACAGCCTTGTCTTTTTTGTTCTGTTTGTAGTGTGCTATCCATGTAAAACTGAATTACCTTCAAAGCAATAGAATAAGTCTTTAATGAATAATTGAAATGTGAAAATGAATGAAATAGACAAACTAGACTCAAAGTTGACATGAAATAGACAGTTTTTATTAAAACATACTTAATGCAAACACAATTTGTATACTTGCCTTTATGTGCATGGGAGGATCACTTTTATTGGATCATCTATCTTCAACCAATAAGGTTGAATCCAGGTATCAGATTGACTATATCCAGTGTTCCTTACTTCACAAGAAACTTCCTTTTTACCCAAAAGAATTTGTGCTTCCCACATGACTGGTCCTTCTCAGTCAAACTTGGGTAAGGCTGTTACCTTGAAATATTAACTATCATTGAAGGACACAGCTGTTGATGTTTTTGCATGATGTGCAGTATTTCAGGATTCTCTCATGGGCTAAATAGGTATCTCTTAAAGAATGATAAACAAAATAAGGCAGCTGGAATGAAATGGCTTTCTCAAACATGTTATGAGAACCCATCAAATATACAGAATAAATGATAAATTTAGAATAAGTACTATAATGTATACAGAAAAGGTAGAAATGAATGTTGTAATTATATACTACAGTGCAAACTATAATTATTTTAAGGTATTGACCCTCTATTACCTTTTGTTTTCAATGAGTACAGTTCCAGTTTGTGTTTCTGATGATAAACAAATGATATGAAAGTTGAAATAATACAGGAAAGAATAATCAGTTGTGTTTTCCTGTAGCAAGACAAGCAAGGCAGCTTGTGAAACGATACAGGGAGTCGAAGCTAACAGATGAAAGCAATAGTGAAGCAGAACCTGAAGAGAATGATGACAGTGAGTTTGCTCCTTCTGATTCCAATTCAAGTGATCGAGAGCCAAGTCCATCTCCAACTGAATCTGAAGATGATAGTGATTTTAACCCTTTTGGAGAGGAATCTGACAGTGATGGTAAGAAATAAATTTTAGAAGCATATTTTAATTGTTACTTTGTGTAAGTAAAAAAATGTGTTTATATTGTTATGAACACATCTTAGATCAAGGTTAAATCCAGACATTAATAGGATTGTCTGAAATAAAAATAGTGTTTGAACATTAGTTTCATATTTTACAGTAAAAATCAAAGCTGAATGTAATGTATCTTGCAAGAGGCTTCAGATAATTTTTATATAAATTTTAGCTCTATTTTTTGGTAAACCCTTTTGTGACGGCCTTGGTATAAAATACACGAGTTCGTATACACATTTGCATACGTTAAGTATTTATACTATAACTTTTAATGCTGTATATGTATCTTCACAAAATTTGTTATACTTTTAGTAATTATTCCAAGTCTTTTGTACACAAAAAATCAGATTTTTTAATGAAGTAATTTTACTAAAGATTTGTGTACTCTTTAAAACTTCCTAAATACATTTCAAACGTTTGTTTTCAATAAAACTGTATATTTTGTCTGTTATTTTCTCTACCCTAGCTATACAGGGTCTGTCAATTTGACTGACCTTGTAACCACCATAAAAAATTAGGAAATATAAATTATGCTTTTTTCGTTCTAGAATGACTAAAGATTAAAATATGAAAATGCAAATGTTTAGTCTAAATATTTTAAATCTCGTAACATTATACATTTATTTATTTTTATTATATTGAACTTCCAGTCGTGCCTGGCTAACATTACAGAAGTTACAATGACGTGGCACACATGCACTCATGTTACTGTATCCAATAATATAAAACTGACCTTTAGTCTTTACAAAATGATCTGTCTTGGCCATATTTTAGTGGACTTGTATTTTGTAAAATACAAGTTACATACATTTCAATTATTATACATTATATTTCTATATAGATTATTCCTATTTACAAACAAGTTCTTAAACTTATTTTTCTTAAACATAGAACAGTAACTGAAGAAGTAAAGAAAACTCTAGTTACAACCTTGGTACTCATTTGCTGCTTCTTGTAGCTTGCTAAGCCTTAAAAAATTTTGCATGTGGAGGATGTGAAACAAAATAATTTTTCTGTGTTTTATATGTACATTTGAATAATCAAAAAATCATAAATTGCTATATCAATACCATAGAATTCCATTATAATTTATCAAGTTTAGTAACTAAAGCTGTATTTTGGTCTAAAAAAATATGGAATTTCAAGCAGACTAAAGACAACCTACCTCCTTGAAATCTTGTTTTGAAAGAACGAGATAGTGTCCTAACACATGAAAATGGCTGAGAAAGCCACTTGGGGGAAATTCTGAGCTTTTGATTGTTTATTCACATCATATACACAAGTGTATATAAGGGACTGTTTCCCAAAATGGAAAGAGGTGAGTGGGGCCACTGTGTTTGACTCAGTGAATAGAAAGCTAGGAGATTCTTATTTTATGTTCTAGCTTGTTAATATTGGTAATTTGAGTTCCTAATTCGTATGAAACTATAGACAAACATCTAAGTTGAACCATTGCTGCATACAACATACCATGTGACACACAAATATCGATGTTTAGCTTTGTTTTTTTAATATTTACTTTTAAATTAAGAAATTAACTGTGTAATACTAAAATTTGAATTATAATCTACAATTTGATACCAAACTTGTTGACATCAGTTCATAAAATAGTAGATCAATAAAATTTTCAATGCAAGTCAACAAACATGATGCCATGGCTTTTCACCTGTGACCCATAGCGATAGGGTTAAATTACTATCATAACCTTGCATACCCGGTAAGTCAGTATGAATAATTTGGATAATAAAGTGCAAACCAGGTTCATAATATCTTATAGTGCTTGTAGTACCTTTTTTAAAGAGATTACTTCGTATGTTTAAGCTGAAACTTTTTCATTTCATTCAGAAACTATTTGAAGGCAAGGTAAATTTGTATGATTTTTTTTGAAATGTTTTAAATTTGTGATTACCCTTTTACTATGGGTGGGTGGATTCCAACCAGCCCATCTCCCCCAAAGTAATCATTAGGCAATTATTGTACTGTAACTTTTTTAAAATGTACACTTCACGAACTTTTACAGATTATCAGTAAACATTACAAAGCATTTGTACACAAAATATCAGATTTTTGAAGTAAGTTTTAAGATTTTTTAACCCTTCAACTACAGTTGACATCATATGATGCAAGCATTTTGCGAGCAACATTTTGAATGGCCACTAATTTGGTGGCCTGGTAAGTTTTCTAGGTGCTGCGAATCATCCGAGAACAGTACCCAAGCAATGCCATGCACCCATGCTTCAGTTACCCACATATAGTCATGGTGGTAGGACCTAGTACATCTCGTGCATCTGCTGCTCCCAATTATCTCATTGAGATAATTTTAACCTAGAATTTCGTGCTTTTGATTCCAGAATAATATCAGAATTTCTGGTCATTGAGGAGGCTGAAGAAATAGAGTATTTCCAATGAAGTGAGGAATTATATAGTGAGTGAAACAAAAAAATACAGGGATTTTGTTGTTTCAAAGTCTCAATTTCCAAAACATACTTACCTCCTCTCACACTTATAGCTAATACTCAACTGCCAGGGTTTCTTCCTTTGCTCATGTAAGCATTGGTCTGATTTTTTTATCACCTTGTCCAGTTTTTTATACCCCACTCACCTGCCCTTGGCAATATTTATCTTGTGACTCTCCACCTATGTCAGTGCATCCTCTATCCTGGTACTGTATATAAGCACCTCATTCAGATAATGTTATCAGTTTTTGTTGGCAAAGTGTCACTAATGGGTTTTCCAGTATTACGATCATTCAGAGATACTTTGAATGTTATATGTATTATCTAGTTGGTTTTAAAAACATTTTTATTCCAATTAGTAAGCCAATTTATATGAATTCCTAGATTATTATTTCTGGCACTGGGGGCAAATCAGGTCTTCCTAATCCACCTCTTATATCTAGCATTGCACAACAATCGGGGTGGGGTGTCACTCTAGATTGAGACTGTCAGTGATCTTATTCGTAGTGAGATGGAGATATATATTTTGTTTTGTGGTGTTCGTCCAGGGTCTCTGAGGCTGCAATTGAGGGCGATCCACAACATTCTGGAGAGAATTTAGATTAGTTTTTTCTGTGTCTTCTTTTTGTCTGTTATTTTTTCAGTTCCCCTATGGGAAAGTGATGAGTTTGCATATTCTCAGCAATGGGGTCTGGGGTTCAATTCCCTGAAGTTAACAACTAGCTTCGATGAATTTCTAACGGCTTTTGTCGCATAGTTAGAATGCCTGAGAGGTATGTGAATTTGTCTACTTTTTGCATGTTATTAGTCTATATTCTTTGGTGCATTAGTATAATTACTATAAAAAAACCAGACTTAACTCTCCTCAACAATCGAGTGCAAGAAAAAAAAGATTGGGTAAGTACATTATTTATTTACTTGTTTTTCATATTTATTCTTTATTTATTATCATAAAAGTAACTAGAAATCTAAAAATATGGATCTTAAGTTTTGTAAGACTAGATTAAAATAAGTAATAATAATATAATTAAAATTGTTCGCAAGGCACGCACGAGAGCAGCTCGAGGGTAATGAAGTTCGATAGCGTAATGTGAGCTGCACATTCCGAGTGATTTACAACTTATAATGGTGTGGATAGTAGTTAGATATGGTTCAAAGGACAATAAAATTTAATTATAGATAGATGTATAATGTTACGAACCTAGAGCTACTTAGGATAAACGAATGTAGTTTCATGTTACAGTTTGAAGTCATTCTAGAAAGAAGAGAAGGTCAATTTAGCTTTATTTCGATTTTTTTGGTGGTTACTAGGTCGGTTGAATTGACCAATCCTGTTTTGAGATAGAGAAAATAACAGATAAACTATAAAGTTTTACTGAAAAAAAGTTTGATATGCATTTAGGAGGTTTTAGGGATTACACAAAGGAAATTTGAGATTTTTGAGATGAAGAAAAGTATTTTTAAGTTTTAACATGAAAATTACTTTGCACATGGACTATTCAAAACAAATACTCAATATATTCATGGACAAAACTTTATTTTATTAGAAATACTTCTCTAAGAAGTATGATATTTTGTATGTGAAAGACTTGTAATATTAACTGAGAGACTGCCAAATCTCATGAAGATATACCCAATATATATATATAGTTATAAGTATTAAATTTATGTTGACTTTAAACAAGTACAGAAGGTCACGTGACTCAGTCCAGTTGACTGACCCCATGTTGAAAGATTTAAATGTACACTGTCTTATCAAATTTCAAAACTTAAATAAAATAATAATTCTAATTTTATTTCAACCATTTTTACTCAGAAATATTTTGTAAATTTGTGACATTTATTTAGTGTAATTTGCAAAAAAAAAAATGTAAGTTGCATTTCTGCATAGCTCCAAGAAACCTTGCCTGTAAACAGTGCACTTATAGATGTTTTTAGAATTCTTCTGCCCATCCCAAAGCATTGGTTTTTAATTTGTTAATAAACTATCATTCCTTGAGAATACAGTCAACTCTTTCCATACAATGTCAGTGGATTACACTGACCTTTTAACCACCAAGTAAACGTGAGAGCATTATTACTGTACCTTTTTATATGTTTTGTGTATCTTCATGAAATTTGGCTAGCTTTCGGTAAACATTACAAGTCTTTTGTACAGAAAAAAAAATCAGATTTTGTAATTAAGTATGTTTGCTAAAGATTTGTCTGTGAATATATAGAGTCGAAGTGTTGACTGCTCTGAGTGCGAAGTGATTTTCATGTTAAGATTAAAAATACTTTTCTTCATTTGAGAATTTTCAAATAATATTTATTTAACATCTAAGACTTCCTAAATAAATATCAAACATTATTTTAAGTTAAACTTTATGTTTTATATATTGGCCAAACTTGTAATCACCTTAAAAATATATATATATCTGAATTACTCTTTTTTTTCTTTCTAGAGTAATTGTAACAGAAAACTACAGTTGTTTATCCTAAATAGCTTAAGGCTCATGACAGTTTACATCTGTTTTTACATAATTTTATTGTCTTTTGAACTGTATTAAACTAATAACCCAGCCATACAACTCACTTAGCAAATGTGTAACTCAAGTTACCATATTGAATAACAAAAGGCATGAGCTAGTTGCAAGCATACCTCACATAGAACATAATCTAATAATGAAGTAAAACATGAACATAATAACATGAAGCATTTATTAAACATTTTGGAATCTTCAAAATTCCACCTTCAATAACCTAGAGGTACAAAACAAACACAGTGGTAAATGGACCAGAAATATGATATAATTTGTAATAAATAAAAACAGTTTGATTACAAACAAGTAGAACAGAAAAGTGTGTAGTGCAAGTGAAATTCTTAAATTAAAATAGATTTAAATCAAATGAAGAAAGTGTATTATTTGTAGGTGGAAGAAGAGGTTTTATGTATAATGTCTCTTTTATTAGAAGTTTGGTATCATGCTTGACTGTTCAGAGAATTCTAAAGTTGGAGATAGAAATTGGATGATCTGTTTCTGTATTATGTTGGTAGATTGCAGAGTTGGAGTGGCTTGTAACTTTTCTTCTAGTTGATATACCCATATCTTCAAGTTCTTGTATTTTAAGGTGATGTTTAGTTTCACCAATATAGAGGCCATACATTCTCTGCATTTAGAGAGATGTAGATTAGATGTGTACAATGAGCAACCAACTCATGATATTTGTGGTGGAAAAACATTTTTAGTCTGAAATTAGGTATAAAAATAACTTTTAGATCAATTTGAGTGAAGTAAGTTACATAATTTTTTCCAACTGTTTCATGATAAGGGAACTATCTTCCAAGATATGGTGAGCAGGGTGTATAAAGGTAGTTTGGGTACAGTAGGTATCTTGGCTGGCTTGACAAACACATTAGTTAAGAATGAGCATGTTATTTCCTTTAGGAAATGCTTAGGGTAACCATTTCAAAAAAGAATGCTTTGTATGAAAGAAATTTCCTTGTGAAGGACAGAGTATGACATTGTGTTTGAAAGAAAAGGGTATAAAGCTGTCAGACTGAGTGAAAAAGCCAGTAAGTGTGTTTTTATGATAGACAGAAGTTGTGAAGCCATTAGCATCCTGACTAACCAGAACATAAAAAAAAAGTTATTTGTCTTAATTTCTTGAGTGAAGTATATAGAGGGGTATTGTGAATTAAGATAGCCAAGAAGAGAATTATTATTATTATTATTGCCATTATTTTTCATTATCTTGCCTAATCTAACCTAATAAATTTCTGATTTTTAGATTTTAGTTTCTTTTATAACAATGAGTAAAAAATACAGCTGAAAAGAAGAAATATGGTATTTACATTCACGTCTTGTTTGTTTGCTGTACGTTGCTAATGAAAATTTAAGCCAACTTTTTTTTGCAATGATGGTACTAGTACATTAAATAATTTTTATCTATTTAAAGAATGCACCTAAGAACACAGAATAATAACATGCACAAATTAAACAATAAGGCATAAGTGCTTTAAAATAATTCCTTTGCTGTTCAACATGAACACTATTAACCAAACTTTGAAAAAAGATGAAATTGACAATACTTTATACTGAAAACAATGTTATGTCATATGGCATTTGATAAATTAAAAGGTTTTTCTATTGTTTATAAATGATATAAAACGTGAGAGAGAATTATTGACAATTTGAATGAGAGGATGTGACGGGTGGGCCTGGCAAGTGGATCTGACTTTCTAGTTTATGTCTCTATAAACAACGAATATTGTAGGCTATAAAAATTAGACTTTGCTGTGGTAATATCTATATTATAATGAGCAAATTAAATTAAATTCTGTACTTCAGAGAGGAGTAGTAAATATATTAGAGAATGGGTAATGCATAGAGAACAAATGCCATGATTAAATATTTTCTTTTTAAATAAAAAATTAAAACTTATATAATATTAAGATTTGATTTATTAACTACAAATTTATTTGTATACCATGATAATATAGTAGTTTAATTAACTTTTGATTGTAAATCTCTAAAAATTTGTGACATGCACACTTTGACCTACCCATGACCAGGGGGTTAACTCTCTCAATACTGGCTTGGTCAATACGACTGACTACGTGACCTTTTGTACTTGTTTAAAGTCTATAGATTTGGTACCACTAACTTTTAATATAGTTTGTATATCTTCACAAAATTTGGCAGCCTTTTGGTAAACATTATAAGTCTTTCACATACAAAAAATCAGGTTTTTTAGTGAAGTATTTTTAATAAACTAAGAAAAGATTTGTCCTTGAATATGTTGAGTGTTTCTTTTGAATAGTCTGTGTGCAAAGTGATTTTCATATTAAGATTAAAAATACTTTTCCTCATCTCAAAAGTCTCAAATTTCATTTGTGTAACCTCTAAAACCTAAATGCATTTCAAATGTTTGTGTTTTCAGTAAAACTTTATAATTTATCTGTTATTTTCTCTACCATAACTCTATACTCAGTTGGTTAATTTGATCAACCTCATAACCACCAAAAAAAAAATCAAAATAAATCTAAATTACCCTCTTTTTCTTTCTAGAATGACTTCAAATTGTAACATGAAACTACATTTGTTTATCCTAAGTAGGTTTGAACTTGTAACAATATACATCTATATATAATTAAATTTTATTGTTGTATTGCCCTTTGAACCTTGTCTAACTACTATTTGCAGCATTATAAGTTGTAAATCACTTGGGGAACATGCAGCTCATGTTACATTATTGAATTACGTTACCCACAAGCTACTCCAAGCTGCTCGCATGTGTGCCTCATGAAATATTTTTATTATAAAATGCCCTAATCTAACCTTAACTAACATTTTAGTAACTTTTATAATAATAAATAAAGAATAAACATGAAAAAACAAGAAATAAAGTACATTTTTTTCTTCTGTCAAATGTCGATAACACTTAACCCATCTTCTTTATATTAATGGTAGTAACGCATATAATAATTTTTATGTAATTAAATAATGTGGCAAAAAATGTAGAATAATAACAAGCAAAAAGCAGACAATTTAAACTTAAAACTTGTATACTATTAAAATATGGATTATAGCTATTATGTTATGCTATACTAATTGGCATAACATAAACAAAAAATGGTTTAATAAAATTTTGAATGTAACTAAAACCTCTTGACATGTGCAGTAAATGATGCCTGGGCAATAGTGTTAAAGTTTATGTAACCAACTGGTACAACAGATAAATCATCTGTAATTTATATAGCATCTCCATGTCATAAAAATGAATTTTATTATTTTCAAATACAGCATTTGAGACATGCAAGTTAATAATATTATAAGATATCTACAGTTTAAGTTTATTTTACAAATACATGTACTTTTATCACACGAAAAAAAAACAAAAAACAGTACAGGAATGGCATTTCAGTCTGGTCCAGCTCCACCACACTACTGGCAGTGATAGATTTTTTAACCTATTTATAGCTTAGTTAGAAACCCAAATAAATTATAGTTCTTTTAGGACATTCAATTCTACGGCCCATTGTACCTTTTGTATACTAAAATGCTTACTTGAAAACTTCACAATTTATTTTGTGAACAGCCAATATAGTGTAAAAAAAGTAGTGTCACTGAAGTATTTTCCTGACTAGAATTAGGCCTCAAACTAAGATAATTTGTAAATTTCCTGTTTTTATGCATATTTTTTAACAAAAGTATCTAAAATATAGAAATTAAAAATTATTAGGTTAGATAAGAAAATTCAAAGGAAAGAAACGAATTAAATACAAACATTTTTCATGATCACTCTCTCATTTTGCTTGTGAAGTCATGTGATGTAATTTAATCCATTTGTGTTAACTTTAATTTTTCCATTATATGTTGTGTTTCAAGTATTGAGAGATGCCTAATAGCACTTTAAAGTAATAATACTAAAAGAAAGCAAATGTGAATAGTTTCACGTGTACATTTAAATAATTTTGCTTCACTTAGCATTAATGTACAAAAAATAAGAGACAAGTTATAAAATTTTACCCCAAAACAATGTGGGCATTATAATGTGATGGTCAATCGTATTATTTGATTAGAGTAGCTGAAGAGTTGGCAGTCAGTGGTATTGATTAGCTGTGTATCCTCTTGTCTATCACTTCTAAATTAGGGATGTCTAGTGTGATATTTGTCTCGTGATACTCTTTATCTTTATTAGTGGTGCAACAGTTAACGTCCTTGGTTGTGATTTTCGTAGCACCTAGTGGCTTTCTGTATAAATTATATAATCAGTCCTGTGTTATCTAGCATCTCTCAAAGGTCAGGTTGGGGGTCACTCTCAGTAGAGGCTGTCCATGATCTGATTCGTGTGAGATGGAGACATATAATCGGTGTCCAGAGGCATCTCCCCAGGAGGTTCTGTGGCTGCTTTTGGACTCTCCTTTTCTGGCACCTTCGTTTACTAAGTTGGCTTTTCATGAGGCCAATTTGGATCAGACACCTCCTGCTCAGTTGGATTTGTGAGGTTTTGGGACTTTCTACAGTTGCTTTTGAATCTACTCCTTCCTTGGTGGCTGAAAATCTGAGGGTGTTTATTTTTCCACCTTCACCTGATATTGATGTTCATGCTGGGAGATTTGCTGCTCAATTAGGTGACGGGATAGCTATGCCTTGTCTCCAATGTTCATCTGAACAGCATGCTTTGGTTTTCCACCACCAGGAGGATGTATATTTAGATTCCCAACAACTTGATTCTCTTTTGGATATGTGGGGTTCCAGACTAGACCCTGTGATCACTTTGAACATATCACAATTTTGCTTGACCCTCACTACTGTTCTGAGATATTTATCTTCCCTCCAAATATTTTAGGAAGCCTATAGGTATTCTCCACATCAATTTGAGGACGAATTGGGAGTTCATCATCCTGCTGTAGCCCTCTGAGAGTTATGTGAGGCTCCTTTTCTTCATCCCTTGATATTCGTGGGTGTCCCAGAGACATTGGAATCACGAATTGATGTCACCTGTTTGCATTCTTCCTTGTTGTCGTTGGACTCTAGACTTTCTTTAGCTCCTGCTGGAAGTCATGGCAGGACTGCTCATCATGTGTCCCGACCTCCTGGCTTCTGCTTTTTCCACCTATTGGTACTCAGAATAGATTCTGTCCTTATCTTCGAGGAGGCAGTAGAGAGAGTCCATCCCGTACTTCCAGGATTTTTTCCTGTTTGTGTTGTACCCAAGAAGACAGGAGACTGGCAATTGATCATCGATCTTTCTCATCTCAACCAATTCTTAGATCATCCCAGCATTCCAGTTCGGGATGTAATGCAGTTTCTTCTACTTGTATACCACTCTTATCTTCGTACACCCTTGATCTATGCAGACACTTTCCGTATGGATAATGCCCTCACTGGTCCCTCCACCTTATCAGTGTGGGGTTATAGCTGTAATGAGAGAAGAGGTAAGTATGTTTTGGAAGTTAACATTTTCTTAAATCGAAAATTTATTTCTCCCACCCTTTCTTCCCACTAAGAGCTGGAGTTACAGACTGGGATTGAGTCAGTCTCGAAAAATTGGTAACATTATCTTAATGAGTTGCTTATATACAGAACCAGGATAGAGGGTGGTGAGTGTCACGAGATAAATATCACCAACAAGGACAATTGAGTAGGGTATAAAAGACTAGAGCAAGTAAAAAAAAACAGACAAATTCTTAGATGGGCAAAGGAAGAAACCCTGAAAGTCGAGTAATAGCTATAAGTGTGAATAAAGGTACGTATTATTGAAATACATTTTTAATTTAAGAAAATTTTAACATTTTAACAAGTAGAAAGCCAAAGTCTTAATCTATCAACTGATGTATTTTATTACACTGTTTTCTGTACAGAGAATTGTCTATTTTGCTTCCAGCTCTAACTTTATTACCATGAGAAGCACATTGATGAGCTTAGCTGAAATTTTAATGGCTCTTATCATATAGTTAGAAAGCCAGAGAAATTGTGGTAGTTATTGGACATTGTGTGCTTTCTGCATATTATTATTCTGTGTTCTTTGGTGCATTATTTAATTAAATAAATAATTTAGTGCAGTAGAACTATTAGTAGAAAAACATAAAATGTTGACGGTCAACAGCCAAAAAAAAAAGCCCCTGGTAAGTATTTTATTTCTTGTTTTTCATGTGTATTATTTAGTTATTATTATGAAAGTAACTAAAATGTAAAAATTAGAAACCTTTTGGGTTAGATTAGGTAAAATAAAGAATAATTAAAATTGTTCATGAGGTATGCTTGTGAGTAGCCCGTGCATTATGTAATTTGATAGGGATAACATGAGCTCTAAGTTTGCTAATTGATATTCAAATTTTATGTTGGGAATATTACTTTAGGCATGGTTGAAAGGGCCATAAAACAAAAAAATTTAAGTATAAACAAATGCATACTGTTATGAGTTTAAAGATATTTAGGATAAACAAATGTATTTTCATGTTAGGACTTGAAGTCATTCTTGAAAGAAAAAATGAGTTTTTGTGTTTTGGTGGTCACAAGGGCAGTCAATTTCACAACTTCGTATATATGATAGAGAAAATAACATAAAATATAAAGTTTTACCGAGAAAGAAAGTTTTATAATTATTGAGGAGGATTTAGAGGTTACACAAAGGAAATTTCAAAACTTACAGATGATTAAAGTATTTTTTATCTTAACATGAAAATTACTTTGCACTTAGACTAGCAAACAAAACTACATGATATATTCACAGACACACATATATATATAGTTTCTTTGTTTTTGTTAAGCACAAAGCTACACAATGGACTGTCTGTGCTGTGCTCACTATGTTATAAGCCTTCAGATTTACCACTGAGGGAATATATATATAGTTTTAAATATGGTTATTCAATATGTACAACATTTTTTGACTTTTTTAATTTTTGCGTACAAAAGTATTGTAATGTTTACTGTGAATATATGTGTACTGTATTAAATTTATAGTATGGAAACTGTAACGATAATAAAATGATTATGAACTCGGTTGAATCAGTCAAACCCGTGTGGAAAGAGTTAAATATAGATTTAATGTTGAGTAATATCATTTATGAGGTGAGATAAAAAGGGGAAGAGAACATTTTGCGAGATTCACTTATTTATTGAAAGTGTAAATTTATTACGTTTCTCTTCATATCAAAGGTGGAATGTGAAAACACTAATTCAAAGGAGCACATGTTTGATGTTATCAGCTTGGAGAGTGCTACTCAGCTTCACAGGAAACGTATGACTTTGTCTCTTAACATTTCTCAAGGCAGACGACCTGTAGATCTTTCTCCTTCCACACCGGGAGATGTTGAGAGCAACTCTGGTAGAGTTTTAAATTATTTTCTTATAATGTATTTGGGTTTTAACCATCAGTGTAAGGATTTTTTTTTTCAGTTCATTAAATATAAGGTTCTTTTAGTATCCCGAGTGAACCAAGTAATTAAAATATAAACCATGTGTAAATGAGGTGGTACGAGGACACAAAAATTTCAGTTCATAATATTTTTACTTGTACAGAAATCTGGTTTTGTATTATGATTATCTTCTCCTAGTGTACTGACAGCTCTCCCTGTTCATCCACTAGGTCGCTGACAATAGCTCAACTAGCTCAATAAAGATGCATACTGTATTCCCACGAACTGTTTATTAACATAAAAGAACAACTTACCAAGGACATTTCATGACACTGGACAAATAACATTCACATTACTGAGTGGTAATGAAGACAAGTACTATTCTGGACACATACATATGATTAATCATTTTACACATTAAATTCAGGCACAGGTGGATTGGAACCTACATGGTAATGCAATCTCAGCAGCTAAGTATTTATATATTGAAGCTCAGCATACGTTAGTATCATATTTAACTTAATTACATTAATTCTATGTTACAAACAAGTCAACAACAGACATCTTGTACATCCATATTATATGACTGTTAAGTTGCATTATAAACTGTTGTTTAAGCTTAGAGAAGGTGATTGCACAAAATGTAAGTAGAAAATTTGTAAGCTATTATTAACTTAAGTTATATGTGTGTAATGATATGATAATATTTTGTGTAACAATTAGGTGACAACAAATGCCTGCATTTGAAGAAAGAAATCATGATAAATTAATTCCTCTCATTAGATATAAAATAATACAATATTAATATTGTTTTCTTTAGCTAGAGTACTGAATGAAATAAATATAGGGCAGAAATACTAAATTGATTTTGTATTCTAGAATTACATATTAAGATTGTATGTTATCTTCTAAATATCTCTCACAACTTTTTTTAATCACTGGCATTAATATCCATTTTCAGCATCTTGGTATTGTGACTACAGAATGTAATTATTATTTTTTATAATAACTTAATTTAAGTCATTGTAATAGTTCCTAAATAAATTACACTAAAATAGTATATATTTTTACTTCATAAATTTTATTATTGGGTTGTTATTAAGTGCATTTTTAGTATTCAGTATAATTGATTGAGTATGAGCAGTGATTACATTGATTAATGTCACATAAACTAATTGATTAATTGAAATTATGATTAAATCAATTAATCAAATTTAGTATTTCTGATGGTTGTTGTTTTTCATGATTTCAACAATCAATCAATTATAGAAATTCTGATTATGCTTATTGTCACAAAAATATACAACTAATCAAAATTAGGATTAAATCGGTTGTGAGGAGAATCAGGATTAGGTTTTCTAATTATTCGAACTATGCAAGTAATTGAAATGTTGCCACCAGATTAACTCATCCTGTGTTTGTTATTCTAAGGCTGTTTGCCACTGTCACTGATTTTCAACAGCTGACCAGAAGGAAGGCAACAGTGAGCAGCATCTGCTGCCTTCTTTTTTTTTTGAAATTGCTCATTAGGTGGACATTGTGCATTACTTGCTACCAAAATTTTTTTTTTGTGATAAACGAGTTAGCACACAGGACCATGAACAAAAGGTGCTATGTGGAATAAGGAACACTGAACTAATCATTTAATTGGGCCATTGATTAATTGATTAGCAAATACCACTAACCACCCAGCTCTAATAGCTAATGTGATAGTTTTACATGGGTTGTTAGAATACTATGGAATTATAGCAAATATGTAGAAAATTTTGCTATTTCCCATGCGATATCTTACCTTTCCTCACAAAATCTTTCTTGACTTGTACTGCCCTCTATCAGCACAAATTTTTGTTTGCAACTAGTCTTGTTTCTCCTATTTATTACTGGATACTAACATGCAAATGATTATTCAGCAACCCTCCACTCTAGGTGTGCAACACTACCCTATATCATAACTAGTGCTCTCTCTAATGCACATGTTAATCACTTCTTGATTGGCAGTCCTACTGATTAGATGTGCTTTTTGCTCGTGGTTTGATTAATATATTCACATGTTTTCACTTTAATGAATTTCTCCTTCAGTTAATTTGTTATTTTATGTTTTCATTCTGTTTTTGGAGAATTACGAGTTATTTTATTTTATCTTCTCTCCTCTTTCAATTTCGGGAGTTATGCACTTGCAATTTCTGGTGGTCACGACTACAACTACTGCTCTTACCATGGCAGCAGAATTCTTAACCATGTCTAATGGGTTGACACCATGATTCTTGACTCGTGAAGTGACGGCTCTGGTCTGTCTGGAGTTTACCACTTTCGTGCTACAGTCAGAACATACTGATGATTGTTTTAACTATGTTTTCAGTGATCTTTTAGTTTTTGGATTTGGACAGCCTTCTTCTTGATTATGCCTCTTAGTCAAAGGGATCACTACCCATCTCTCATGATCTGTGGCATTTGATGCTCGTTCCTACCGTGGAACTAATGTACAATTCCAGATGCTGCCAAGTGTTGGATGATGAACTCCATCAGCGTGATTGCTGTGCTTTTCAATATAGGGTATGGTGGTCACCCGTTGCACTCTCTCTCTTGTGCTGTGGTTCTCTGGAATCTCCAACACATTATTTCCCTCCTTCTTCTAGTGAAATATGTGAGTCCTTGCTACATACTAGTTCCTAGCCACTGGGGTGGTGGACCATGGAAGCCTGCCCTCCTGTTGTGCACAATACCACTTGGTTGAGAGTAGGATAGTGGCATTCCGCGGGTGTCAGTGGTGTGATGCCTTTCCTGCTATGGACCTGGTGTACAATTCCACATGCTGCCAGGTGTTGGATGTAGCATTCCGCCATAATATATATAAACAAAAAATTAACAAAAATCGCAGTTTGCCCCTCCACCTGAGACATTCCTCCTTCCTACCATTCTCCGGATTTAGGTTCTCGAAGAACGGGTGTTGGTCAGAGTTGGTCCAGACACATAAGTCTTCACATTTGTTTGGCCAGTACCCTCCTTCTGCTGTGGACTGGGCAATAAAAATTACCTACGTCGCCAGGTTTTTAACTGGAGTTGCAAACCCAAAATTGTGATCTCTCTTCTTACCATCCACTGGATTTGGGTTCCTGGTGGATCTGGTGTTGGCTGTAGCTGGACGAGACACATGACATCTTGCTTGTGTAAGGCTGATACTCTCCTCCTACCGTGGTCTGGAAAACCAAATTCTCAATGCCACCAAGTTTTGGTCTTAAGATGAACATCCACCTGGGTTCTCCTCCCCCCTACTATCTGCCAGATGTCAGTTTCCCTGTGGATCTGGTGTTGGTTGTGTTGGAGGTGTGGACATGTGGAGATGGGTTTTTGGTATGGGAGCTTCTCTTCCCTGCCAGTACTTGTTTTTGAGGTGAAAGGTATAGGATCTTTCTCCTACCACAGACCTGAGGTACTTTTTCAGATGCCGCTAGGTGTTGGTTGAGGTTGAACTCCCATTTACGGTCTGACGTGCCCTCTACACCAAGGGGTCCCATTATTTCTGTATTTTTTATTTGAGACCCCTCCAAGTTCCTGCCCTTTAAGTTTTGGTGACACATTAATACAGGGTGAAGAGTATACTTGGCTCAGAAGTGGTGCAGTCTCCCACTGGGGTATTGTTTTTAATTCCTTATCACACCTCATGGTCTTCTTTTGGGCCTTTCCTAAAGGGGGATCGTCTTCTCACTAGTCCTCCACCAATTCAGTGTGGGATTCTAGGCTTTTGTGAGAAGAGGTAAGATATATCAGAAATTAACATTTTCCTAAACTGAAAATGTATTTCCAATAGATAATTACCTTACACATTTCCCACCTTTCTTCCCCACTTCTGGTGTGAATTGGTTTGGTTAGTTATGACCCATTTTGAGGTGATTAACATGTGCATGATTAGAGAGGGTGCTAGTTATGATAGGGGTAGTGTCACAATCATATTGGTAGAGGCTTGCTCCATGATCATTTACATGTTAGTATGCAGTAATAAGTGGGAGTAACAAGGCTAGAGGTGAGCAAAAATTTGTGCCGATAGAGGGCAGTACAAGTATGTATTGGAAATATATTTTGAGTTTAGGAAAATGTTAATTTTCAGTAGCTTAGCTGTCTATCTGAAGGTAGCATGAACTTGTTGGTATTAAAAAAAAAGCATTCATGTATGTTGTAAAAGCACAGCTCTTTTGTTACTCAAAGTAAAAAATAAGAAAAATCCTTGAGTTGTTTTAAAATTTTTCTTTTTATATGCATATGTGCATGTGTGTTTGTTTATTTATGTATTAAAACATATCAAATTCAAAGGACAATATTGACAGGAAGGTTAACAAATAAAGTGAAGGGGTATTCTGAAAAGCAGCATTCTCTGAAATGTTAAGTAGGATCTTTCACTTTTTTTTACCTATTTGTGATATTTGGAGCTTTCCTGGTTCACTTCAAGTATCTGCTGTACATGTTAAGATAGTTAAATTACATACAAATTGATACTGTGTGGGAGTTTGTATTGGTAAGCCGGTCAAGTTTTTCTTTAGTTATAAAACTTATTTTCCTTGACTCTATCTAGATAATGATGAACCTCTGCTGAGTGGTACAGGTGAGGTTAGTAAAGACTGCACTGAGACAGAATTGGCTGGCTGGGCTGAAGTTTTGACCAAGTGGAGGCAAAACCTCAAACAAAGGCCTAAATCCCTGGCTTCTTATGTTAGGCGTGGAGTTCCTGAAGCTCTTCGAGGAGAAGTATGGCAACTGCTGGCTGGTTGCTATGATAACAGGGATATGATGGAAACTTATAGACTTTTAATAAACAAGGTTATTTGATTTTAGTTTTTATAGCATCATCTTGGAAGCAAGATGTAATTTATTGTAATATATTTCTGTATAGTAATCAATCAAAATAAGATCATCTGTCCGATAGATTTGAAGTTAAATGTATAATGTTTAATAATTGGCTGTAGTTTTGCCTTAGCCTTACTATCTCATGAGGTATTTCTGCCTGATAGTAAAAAATAAACCTTGCAGATTTTTTACATATTTTGAGAATTTAAAACATTTATTATAACCCAAATAAATAAATGTGTACAACATTATTAGTTTTAGTTTAAGAAGCATTTATTATTTGTCAGAAACTGACAAGGTTATTTTTTTCTTGTAACAATTTTAGACACATGTTAGGTCAAACTTATGATCTAGTTTTACTGAATTTTCTGTTTTACATCTCTCTGTCTCTCTCAAAATGAACTGTAATTAATTTGTTGTAAATTATTGTTTTGTTAATAAAGTTAAAAAAAAGTTTTACTTCAATTAAAAGACATTAAATGCTCTCTTGAATAATTCCTAGAGTATAGACCAGTTTACTTTTGTTGAACTTTCTACTGTCTTCCACTTGTTTATTGATCAAACTTGCATGATATGCAAAAGATCACTAATTTCATTAGTCGTGTGTCCTGTATTGAGTTATACTTGTTGAGATAACTTTATACACAAGTACTTCAAACATGTCCTGACATTCTAGGCTACCAACTTTTATCTCATCACATTTTTCTATTGGTAGATGGAATAATAGGTTTGCATACAATGATTTATAAGCATAAGGAAGAATTTTATTGACAGAACATTGGTCTATCTTCTACCTGAAGAAGACAGACCAATGTTCTGTTGAAACATGTAGTATGTTTTCTATCATTAATTAAACTCTTCCTTATGCTTATAAATTATTATTTGTCTATCGATTATTATATTAGTGTAATGTGCTTCCTTACTCAAAGTAGGTGTAATGTTATCGTATTTTTATTTTGAAGCTTCTTATATTACAACATCCAACATAAAAGAGGTTATAAATTTCTTATAATTCCTGTAACCTATTTATGACACTTTACTATGGGTATTTGATTTTTGTGCTAAATTCAGTGGATCCTTAAATAGGTATGCAGTAGCCTCCTATGGAAGTGTATACCTGGTATATCTTGTTCCCTCCACCAACTTGTGTGAGGATGTTATGATACATCCATATCTTCTTGGAGAATGGGTCATTGCTGATTGACCCACTGCACCATTTATTTAATTAAATTGTATTTATTTCATCATACTGAACTTTTGATTTAGTGTGTCCACCTGACATCTTTCTATGTTAGAAGCTTGTGAATACTTGGCATTTACCAGTATTATGTTTTATATATGAAAATAGTTCATGGCTCAACCTCTCGTCTCCAATATATTTGTAAGTATTCTTACTTGGTGATCTGTCTTCATACTGAAGTTTAGTCCACCATGTATATTGTGAGATCAGCAGTATAGTTTAACAGAGGACTCAACTGGGCTCCAGTGTATTTTTTATACTGAATACTTTTTTACTAACAGTTGGCAAAATGGTTCTGTGATTACCCTGAAGATAATTTTTTGTTATGGTTTGTTTCAAACAACCTTTCCTGTTTATCTTCCCCAAGAAATGTAAATAACTACTTATTTCTATTGTATCATATTATTACAGGAAAGACATTTTGCAAGTTATGCAATTTTGACCATTAAATAGGTCTATATCTGAGCAATTTGAGGATAACTTAAAAATACATTAGAGATAAGTGTAAGGGCTTAGAGATGTTAACTCAATTTCATTTACTGATTTTATCATTTATAGTTCATTATTAATAAATAAATAGCATAAGTATTAAAATTCCTATTTTATCCAGGAATCTCCTTGTGAAAATGTTATTCAAAGGGACATAAATCGCACTTTTCCTGCCCATGAGTACTTCAGAGAAAGTGGGGGTCTAGGGCAAGACTCCTTGTACAAAATATGTAAGGTACAGTAAAAGTAATTCAAGTAGAACCATTGTTGTAAGCCTTCACCTTCAGTTAATCTTTTCACTGCTCTGTGCACTGTATGTTGTACATTTTCTTGCCACTGTTTGAAACCCCAGTGACCCATAGATGTCACCCCGACACTTACACATAGCAGAAGAAAATGTATATAGTGTAAATATTAGGCACTTATACAGTAGATTTAGTGATTTATATCACTGTGCTAAATGTAATTTGTACAGTATAGCTGTGTTATTCAAGACCAACACTTTGTCAGTGTGTGAGATAAGACAGGAGTGCAACACCACATGTGGAGTAAACAAATGAGTCCTGCTTGCCCTCTTTTTGTCAGTGAGGATTGCTCCTGACTTGATCGACCCCCTGTTCCCTCCTCACTTGGTACACCACAAGGCCTACACAGAAGTCATTATATGACTTATTGGTGTTTATTCTTTACTTTTAGTACTATACTATGATTTCATAAGGTAAAAAAAAAAAAGATTTTTCTTTTCACCCATGGGGTGAAGGTTCACCCCATCTGAGCAGTGAAAGAGTTAATATTGTATAATTTACCTTGATAAAACAGCTTAATAAATCTGACATTATATTAAGTTGATAAAAAGTTTCTGGATATTTATTTTTGGTAAATAGAAAATCTTAATGTGTATATTGGAAAATATAGGAATAAACAATTACAAAAAAAAAATTATAAATTAAAATGGATTTTCATTACAAATGTCTTTAGCCATAAGAATTTTGTTTGTTTAATTACAGAACAAATGTCTAATTTGTGTTTTTGCAGTATATGAATCATGAATATCAAGTGTAAAATAAATTTTATTGTAGACTAGATTTCTAATTGTTTTAAATGATTTGGTGTTGATTCAGACAATATAAGTTATTTTAATACTTAAGAATAGAAGTATACATTCACAGAGCTATAAAGATAGTGATTATTATTGTTTTTTTTTTGTTTTAAAGGCATACTCAATATATGATCAAGAGATTGGCTATTGTCAAGGTCTGTCATTTTTGGCTGCTGCTCTCTTGCTACATGTAAGTCCAATGATTTAATAATACATTTTTAGTGTTATTGAAAGCTTAATTTGTCTAGTAGCTTATACATTACTAATTATTTTTTATTGGCTTTTGTTTGTATTAATGACATTTAATTAGGTGTAACAGTACTGCTACTATTAATATTTTTAAAAAACTAACCATTTCTTATTCAGTTGTTAGATCCTGATCACTAATGCTTAGTAGTATTTTATTTTATGAGCAGAGGTACCCAACAATGTCAGGCTTAAATAGTAATACTCCAAGCAGTGCATGATCTGTTTTTCTGATGTAAAGGTATCTAGGCTACACAGATTAAAGTCACTTTTGTTTGGCATCAGTTTTGTGTATTTTGCTACTGACCTTGCTCAATTGAGTTTTGATTCACAAAATTAAGGCAGTAGAATTGAAATGGCTACCAAACTCACTGTTTGTCTGATTGCTTATCCATGTAAATTCAGTCTCTGGGAGGGAAGTCCACCAGAATTTCTATACTACAACATTTATCAAAATTAGCTCAGTCAATTCCTCATAACAACTTCTGGCATCAGATACAGATAGATGGACAACTCTGATTTATATATATATATATATATATACATCTTCCTATATTTACTCAAATAAACATTTGAAACAATGAGAATTTTTTTTTTTACAAAGTTTTTTTTTTTAAAAATTCTGTGTCATAGTGCAATAGCATGTTACATGATAGAGGAATCTTTCATGCATCTGTTTTGTTATCTTCATGTTTGTTCTCATAACTTGTGTATATATTAAAAAAATTGTAGCATGAAGAGAAAATTCTGTACAGTAAGCCAACTATTATATTTTTACGTAACAATAATATATAAATTTTTATTTATTTCATCCCCTGAAACTTGCACAAAAAATGCCTGTAGCCATAGCCTAATTTTCTATGTAATCACTGGTGATATATTTTTATGAGGCATTTTGGAATTAAAAGAAAATATAGGAAATATATGTATTCATAAGATGATGATATTACATTCTAATTTTAATTTTTGATTTTTTCATGTTTATCCATGCAGCTTCTTCAGTAAATTCATTGACATATTTGCTGCCCTAAACTCAGTACTATCCAAGCAATATTTATTGAATGCAGAAGCCATGTTTTTAAAGCATCATCACGAGAGAGATCAAAGATATCAAACTGTAACTCTTCAGTGTATAAGTTTGAGATAGCAGTTCTATTTAGACTGTTTGTACTCTCATGTACATTTAGATATTAGTGTCATTGCTAATTATGTAGAGTGAATTAAGTCACTCTCTTTTTAGAAATTTTTTATGGAATGAAGAAATATAGATATTCTATTATGTAAAAAAATTCTTGTATCATTTATTCATGGCTGCTGTATCCATTACAGATAAGTTTAACAGTATGATAGTATAATATTTATCAAAATGCAATTTTAAAACATGATATGATAACTAAGCATTGTATTTTTCTTTAAAAATAATAGAATATTGTAATATATTTGAGACTGTATAAGTTATTATACAGGATTTCCTAAAAGTGATAGGACTCCAGAACATGTATAGAAGAATTTTATTCCCCAACAGCATTTTTCTTTCTAGATAATACATAGTAAATACAAATATAACTAACTATAGTCTGTTCAAAATGCCCTGCCACCTGCAATACAAAGAAAAAAAGAAAAGCATTAAATTTATGATGCATCTGAGCACTTTTTACTTTTGGGCCATCCTGTATTTTGTATGAAAAACATTACATCAGTTGAAGTTTTGATTTTCCTCAGATGCCTGAAGAACAAGCATTCCATGTACTAGCAAAAATCATGTTTGATTATGGATTAAGAGATCTCTTTCGAAACAGCTTTGAAGAACTTCATTTGAAGTTTTACCAGCTGGAGAGACTCATGGAGGTAAAGTATAAATATGTTTAACCAAAAGAAAATTAGAGAAGAAGAAAGAACAATTAAAGCATGAAAATATTATGCAGTAGCATATTATTTTTGTTTCCTTTTAGGCATTTTTAGACTTTTTGTATAACTGTTTTGCAACTATTAGCTTTAATTTATGGCAGAAGAATCATAAACTTTTAGCATCATAAGAAGATTTTTAGTATACTTCACTATTTTATTATTCAGTATTTACACTATATATCTATAATGATAAAAAAGCCTTTCTGTGTATGTGACCACCATAGCCCCAAGAGGAAAGAAACCTGAAACTCTTCACACACACACACACACACCAAAAGGATTCTGATGGTGTGAACCTGGGTATTAGTTTTTAGATTTGACCCAAAACAATTTTGGCCTATAGTTTTATCCTATAGCCCTTAAGCTCATAATTCTGCTTCCTGAAGGTTTATAGAAAAGTATCATATTTTTTCTAACTCTCACTTACTGAATAAACAATATGTAGAGGTTTTCTGCCAAATACTCTTTTTTTCAACACAAACATGGGAAGAAAAATATAAATCTGAGAATACTGGAGAATTCAGAGAATGAAAAGAATTCAAATAAAAACACAGGAAGAAATAAAAATGGATCAGAGAAGCTAAATTTAAACTATTTGCTTTTAAAAAAGAGTTGAATTGAATTAAGTTTGGGAAGTGGCAACAGACAAATCAATTAAAGAATTGGGGTAGGTATAGAAGTAATTAAATTAATGGAGATGCTTGACTGAAACATTGAGGCTTCTGTGAATTATGAGGGGACCTTAGAATTCTGAAGTGGAGCATGGGTATTTTATTGTAATGAAAAATAAGGAATGTTTATCTGAAGAACTGGTTTACTATACTTATGAAATCCTAACTAAAATAATTATTTCAATGTAATTTTGATTTTAAATTTGGTTATTGTATAATCATAGCCTTTGTAAAACAAAGTAAACCATGATCTAAATTTTTTTATTATATTTTGAAATGCATATGAAAAATTGTCTAAAGGCTTAACTCTGTAATTGAAACTGACAATCACTGCAAACTTTTGCTTTATGCATAGTACAATTTGTAATTCTAATTAGTATCACCTCTTAGATTTTAGTATATGACATAAATGTGAATTGTATTAAAATGCATTATTATGTTCTTGCGCATATACCGTATTTTTAGATGTATAAGACGCACTTTTTTACCCCAAAATTTGATATCAAATTCTGCTTGCATCCTTTACACGGAAGGTATGAATAATATATATGTATATATACGATATACACAAGCCATGTGTAACTATATTTAAATAGGTATGCATAGTTTAGTTCAATTGAATGTGTTATTTATAACAACAGTAGTTTTTTCTTTTAAAAACATGGCTATTTATAATGCTCCCTAAATAATAAAAGAATAAATTATAGTAATGGATGAGAGTGAAAAAGCTTGTAAATACATGACAATCTCTGTTTAATGTGGAGCAGAATAAGGCCTTTTCAGGCCTAACTTTAACAAATAAAGAATTGTTTTTGATTGCTTGCCTTGGATTCAAATGTGCAATGCACTTGACTAATCAGAGCGCTTAATGCAACTAGTGGCGGTAATCGCCTAATCGGTATTTCAATTTTCATTTGATACTCAGCAGTCTGGCACGTGCTTCCTGTCAAGTTGGATGCATCACCGAAAGCCGAAGTACCGTATCTTAGGCTTCGGGATCAAAATAGTTGTTTCTTCATTTTTCGTTCTATTTTTTCACCCCTTACGATGTCTAAAGAAAATAGACTGTCATACACAGCTAAATTAAATTAAGTGTGATTAATTATGCTAAAGAGCAAGGAAACAGAGCTGCCGAAAGATATTTTGGTCCTCCACCAACAGAAAAAATGATTCGTTGCTGGAAAAAAAACAAAATGGCAAGATCTCGAAAATAAACTGTACGAATGGGTTGTGGATCAGAGAAGGCAAGGGCTATCCGTTTCTACAAATATGATAATTTTTAAAGCAAAGATGATTGCATGTGATAATAGTTTACAAGATTTTACTGGTCATACATCGTGGTGTTATGAGTTCATGAAACCCAAAGGCCTAGTTATGAGAACTAAAACGAAAATTGCTCAAAGAATGCCCGATGAGTTTGAGATGAAAATTTGTGCTTTTCACAAGTATATTATACAGTTAAGAAAAAAACTCCATTTGAATTGTCTCAAATAGCAAACATGGATGAAACACCTTTAACATTTGATGTTCCAAGCAATAGAACAACTGATATAAAAGGTACTAAAACTATTACTGTTAAGACTACTGGGCACAAAAAAATGCATTATACAGTGGTGCTAGCATGTTGTGCAGATGGAACAAAATTACAACCAATGTTAATTTTTAAAAGAAAAACAATGCCCAAAGAAAATTTACCCAGCGGTGTCTACGTTCACGTACATGAAAAAGGAAGGACGGATGAAGATGGAACACTAATTTGGTTTGAAAAAATTTGGTTGAAACATCCAGGAGGCTTATTAAAAAATCCTTCTCTCCTCATCTGGGATTCCTTTAGAGCTCATAAAATGGAAAAAATAAAGGAAAAGGCTAATGAGCTAAAAACACAGCTGGCTGTTATACTCGGCGGTTTAACAAGTCAACTGCAACCTCTCGATGTTTCTGTTAACAAACCCTTTAAGACTTAAATGAGAGAGGAATGGAACAACTGGATGTAGCAGGAAGATTTTGCTATGACCCCTACAGGACGAAGGAAGAGACCGACGCTTGCTCAGGTCTGCATGTGGGAAAAAGTAAGAAGTGATATAATGATTAAATCATTTAAGAAATGTGGAATCAGTAATGCAATGGATGGGACCGAGGATGACATTCTCTTTGACCATAATATTGGATCCAATGATTCCTTTCCAAGCGACAGTGAAAGCAATAAAGATTTTGTAGGTTTTGAACCAAACTAAATAACGGCAAACCTTTTTTTCATTTACGGTAATTTCTTATTTTGATGTTTTGAGCTCTTTTGTGTTTAGAACAATATATACTAATTTTTAAAGTATCAAATTGAATTTTTGTTCAATAAAAATCTTTCAAATGCTTTTTTTCCCCAAAAAACTTTGTCTTCAAAATAAGGGTGCGTCTTATATTCCGTAAAATACGGTATCTGATGGAGAAAATATAAAATGGTGAGAAGATTTTGAACATAAAGATTTTTCTGATGGTTTCACTGTTAATAAATTATACTGTAGCAAAAACAGATCATTAATTGGAATTGTACGATACAAATTTATGGTCTGGAATAAAAATAAAATTAGTAAAACTGAATCATTGTTTATATTTTTTAAAGATGATTTTGATTATATATAGTAGCTATGTACAACTGGCCTGGTGTTTAGGGCACTTGATTCACAATTTATGGGTCGCGTGTTTGAATCCCCATCTTTTAACATACTCGCATTTTAGGGCCAGTCACCTGAGTTGAAAAATTCTGGGCTTATAAAGATGACCAAGCAGCCAACCCTAAAACTAGATGGGATTAAAATTGAATATGGAAGTAGAGTAGCTAAGTAGAATTAAATTTATTTTACAAAACACTTTTAGTTACCTCTGTATTAAAAAGTAAAAGCCTAAAAATAGATTTGATCTGATCTAAAAATTGTGTTTTAGCCTTATTTAGTAAAATTAAAGGATTTTTTTCTTAATTTGTTAAAACAATTCAGTTAGAAATAGTAGTTTCTTTATGAGTGCTAAAGAAAAAGTTTATATAGAACAGAAAATTTGATTTTGAAGTTTTAATTTTTCACACAGAGAGTATGATCACAAAAAGCTCTAATTTTTTTTATATTGAAGTATTTCATAGAGGAGTAAATACAGGTTCTGCCAAAAGAAGCATAAGGATTTAAAACTACAACAATAATTTGTGTTTATTATTTATGAAACTTTATCTCAATAAGATTTCTTGTAAGTATGAAAAATAATGGCAGTAGGCGTCCACCATGAACTGCTACACACTGGCATGCTCTAAGAATGACTTTCATTGCAGAGGTCAAAATTTCATAAGTAAGGCCATTAATTTCTGCCTTTATGTTATCTTTAAAATCGTGTAGTGTCTATGGCTTGTTGATATACACTGTCCTTTAAGTAATCTCACAAAAGGAAGTCTGCTGCTAACAAATCCAGGGGTCATAGAGGCCATTTTCTGTCTCTGTTATGAGAAATTAGCTTGTTTGAGAACAGTTCATCACTGCCATTATTGTTTGTGTTGTATGTCAGATGGCTCCACCTTGTAGAAACCACAAACCCCATTGATGATATATTCAGAAGGAGCAACATTAACACCAACCTCTAAACAGTATTCTCTTTGAGCAGCAGTGATGGAGCATCCATTTTTGAAATATAGCTCAACAATAAGCAAATGCTGTTGCATTGTCTACCTGATCCAACATTAAAATTCAAATCATTAATCTTCATTCAGAATAAATTAGACAATGTTTTTCATTAATACTTTGGAAAATCCAACTATCCTTCTTTTGATGGACCCTGTAGTTAGCCCCCAATGTCACAGCAGTATGTCTGCAGACTTACAACGCTAGAAACTGAGTTTCGATACCCGTGGTGGGCAAAGCACAGATAGCTCTTTGTGTAGCTTTGTGCTTAACTACAAACAAACACACAAACTAACCCTGTAGTTATTAGTATTAAAATTTCAAGATAGGCTCATAGATGTTTTTCATAAAACTACTGAAATGTAGCAAGTCATGAACTTTTTTTTTAACCTTGTTTCTAGGATCAACTTCCTGAACTGTATGGACATTTCCTTGATCTTGGAATTGAAGCCCACATGTTTGGATCACAGTGGTTTTTAACTCTATATACTGCAAAGTTTCCACTATATGTAGTGTTTTACATTTTAGATCTCTTTCTTTTAGATGTAAGTAACATTTATTTGTATTTTATCTGGTCTTTTTATATACTACTGTTATTTTTAATAAGTGTTGTCTAAAACATAATAATTTACCAGTTTTATATAATTTTTTTACTGCATTTTTTTTCAGATGATTTTTGTTTTGATTTGTCATGTAACAGCCTCTTAAATGCCAATATATTTTTTGTTTTTGTGATATTCCACCTGGTTACCCATAGTTGCAATAAACTGAATAGAGAACCTGGAGCATGAAAAATTTAAATGAATAATTAATTTAGTGGTATTAAATGAGTGAGGGGCTAGAGAATAAGATAGTAATAACTGAAGTTTCAGTTTATTTAATCAAACTCTTTTTACATTGCCCTAGTTGTTGAAAGAAAGTTTTGTACAAAAATGAAACTATATTGTTTGATTACCTCATGCCATTGGACTCCTTTTGCCTTTCAGAAAATATATAATACAGACTTCATTCCAATAAGAAAAAAATTATTGTATTAATCACTGTTTTCCACTAAACAAATTTTAAATTAAACTAAGTCAATACTGAATGAAAAGAGAGTTACACCCAAATATACAATGTATTTATTTAGGTACAACAAACAAAAGAAAAAAATCTGAAAGCATTATAAATCAGAGAATT